TTTTTGTGAGAAAAATGATGTTAAGTTTCCTATGGAGTCAAGTTTTGGGGGATGTCAAGTTTTGTTCAATCTTAACCCTAAGTTTTGTATGGAGGTCAAGTTTTGCATGTCAAGTTTCCTGTGGACATTGGAGTTTTGTGTGGATGTCAAGTTTTGTGGTGACATCTTGAAAGTTTTGTGTGGACATCAAATTTTATGAAGACATCAAGTTTTATGTGCATGTCATTAGGTTTGTGAGGATGTCACGTTTTGTGAGGGCATTAAGTTTTGTGTGGGGATCAAGGTTTGTGTGAATGTGAAGTTTCGTGAGGATGCTGAGTTTTGTATGGAGGTCAAGTTTTGTGTGGATGTGAAGTTCTGTGTGGTTGTCAAGTTTTGTGAGGATGCCAAATTTTCTGAGGACGTCAAGTTTTGTGTGTGCATTACGTTTTGTGTGGGGGTCAAGTTTTGTGACTGAACATGAAGTTTCATGAGGATGCTGACTTTTGTGTGGGTGTCAAGTTTTGGATGAACATTAGGTTTCAATGTACATTGTCCTAGTGTCCCTAATGGTAAACTTTTGAGAGCATACAGATAAGAAAACATTGGATGTGAACGAAAATCATATGAAGCATATTTATTTATTTTACTCTTTATAATACATACCTTTTCCAGCTTTTCTAACTTTCCTGTTTTGATAAACTCGTCAATCTTTTTCCCAATTTTATCTCCAATCCCTGGCTTCCATAGGCAAAAAAATAACAACAACTCATAGAATAAATCAACAGATTATCAACAAAGTGTTCACATCAGTTCACATTAATTGGTGCATAGCAAATGTTAAGTTGTTTCCTGTGTTATCTTGAAGGTTTTGAGAGGACACAGACAGAGTATAACTTGAAAGAATTCATTTTAAAGAATGCCATGTGAATGGTAGTACAATGGAATACAAAAATGGCACATTACTTGTACCCGTGCTATAGCAAATCAGCAGTGCAGTGATACAACACTTCATATGTACTCTTGTCACATCTTCCATGAATTAACAAGCTGGATTCAAGATTGAGTAGTTTAGGCTTAAGGACTTACAGAAGTTATAGAATTATATGGAAACTGGTCATAACGCTTGAGAGCATTTTTGCAGCAATCACTTATTAAACTCATCGCCAATTGATGAGCTTGGGAAAGGTGCCTTAGGGGTGCTGATGCCAAGATATGAGCCTCGAACAGAGCATGTAGGTATCCATGGCAACCCTGAGAGCAGCAACCACCAGGCACTGTCACACTGACATACTTACCACCCCATATACTTACCATCACCAACAAAAGGGAGGGAGGTGAGGGAGCAAAAGCACTCAACAGGCAAGAATGGCACTCAAAGGCAAGCTGCACCTTCTCACACAGCTGGCAAGCAAAACACGTAAGCCCTGCAAAACCCCGTGTGAGATTCCAACAAGCATGATCGCCCTGAGAGACTGCTGACTAGCATAATTTGGCTTGACTCAAACTTTGCCTAAATTACATTTAGCTCCATCTGAAAAATTCACAATTGCAGTTGATTAAAAAGTTTAATGTACATAAAACAGACCTGTAGCTTACCAATTTACGTGCTTCATCTCCACTTTTAATCCGAGTGGGGTGCTTTACTAAAACAGATGCCGCTTTCCTTGATACATAGTAATAAAAAAGATAATAAAGCAATACTCACTTGAAGCTACATTGTATAGTAGATCTAGCACTTAGCCATCACCAAAATGAATAGCTGTTATTGCACCTATCAACGGCTTGGCACGCAAACAAGGCAAAAGGGTCACTACTACATTGTATTGACCCTTTCACCTCGTTTGCATGCCTTTTGAAACAAAAGAATATTTGACTGCAGACTCAACTGCAGTAACAGCCATTGGGTTATCAGGCTTTCTCTTTACCAATCCCCCCTTCCTCTCTCCCTCGTAGCCCTCCATCACTCTTTCCACACCTCAACCCTCCCTTCCCTCGTAACTCTCCAATCCCACTCACAAATCTCACCCTAACACTCTTCCTCTTGACCAGACCTTTCTCAACTTCCCTACCTCTCATCTTTCCCTCGGACAGTGATACAAAAGCAGAAATGGTAATCTAAAACAATTAAAATCTGTTAATTTGTTTAAGTTACTTCCTAGATCCTAAAACTAATCAATTTGCCAAAAGTAGAGCTTTACCAATTTAACCACAAAAAATGCTACA